TCCAAATTGCTCTTTGGGAAAATTGGTTAAGAGTCTCCTTGCTTCCAAGAGGCTCTGCTTGGGTACATGTAAATAAAGAAGATACTATGAACACATCTTCAGCTTTCATTGCTCTCACATTCAAAGGAAACAAAGAACAGCCATGTTGTCCCAGAAGCTTCTCACTGTTCTAATAATAGTACATTTAGTCTCAGTCCAGGTGTTTAGTGTTGAACAATTGGGTTAAATGCCCCTTCTATTCCAGCATACAATCTTTTGCTGGCATCTTGCTGTGTAGTCATTTTTGTTTGGACCAGAAATGGGCACTAATGACTCGGCTCTGATTTAATAAAAGAATCAATCATGTTCCAGAGCTAGGAAAAAGCCAGGTACTTGAGGGTTTGAAGCTGACACCTACAAATTTTAACAGTTGTGCTCAAGACTAGTAGCAGCACTTATTGTCTTTTTTTCTTGCTAGCAACAATAGGACTAAAAATAGGACACTGGTGGAAGAATCAAGATTTCCTTACCGTAGGGCAGTGGTATAGACTAATATTGTCTTTGTATTTAATGGACAAATTAACAAAACAACTTATATAATAGATGATTCAGATGCATAGATAGTGCCGGATTTACGTATAAGCTAAACAAGCTATAGCTTAGGGCCCCACTCTCTCAGGACTCCCCAAAAAAATTAAAGGAAAATAACCCTGGATGTACATTTCCAAAATATAAGATAAAAAACAAATAAAATGGCTTTAGATACCTATTAGGTCCATAAATTACCATATAGCATATATTCAACACAAAAAAATTACAATTTGTTGTTGACAAAGGACAGCTGGACATATAAAGGGCCCCATTACCTTCAGTAGCTTAGGGCCTCATCAAACCTAAATCTGGCCCTGTGCATAGAGATGACAGTATTCCATTTCTTTCATTTCTAAATAAGGTTTAGATTGCATAGATCTGCCCTTCAGTGTTTTGCTTAGGGATGTATAGAAATCTTATCAAATTTGGTGCTAATTTATTTGAATGCAAGAGAAGCTTTGCTGGATCAGATCAAAGGCCTTTAAGACACAGAGCAAATGAAGAATGCATTATTTCAGGTGAACAGAGCAGGCTATAAAGTATACAGTATACTGTGTACATCATCCTTTTGATACAGGGCCTTTGTAGGTATTTTCTGCCTCCACAATCAATTTAATTAAAAGTCTTTTAGCTAATTCTTTCACTGGCCTGTTAGAAATCTTCTTCCCATATGAACCAACCCAGACCCTAAAATCACCATCTGTAGTCCTCCTGTGTGTGCCTCCTCCACAAGAGGTCCTGGGGGCGGCAACATAAGAACGGGCCTTTTTTTGCAGTAGCTCTCCATTTGTGAAATGCTTTTCCCAGGGAAGCTCACCTGGCGCCTTCATTGCATATATTTAGACCTGAGGCAAAAGCATTCCTCTTCTCCAAGTCCTTTGACTAATTAAACTATACATGGCCTTTTAAACTCTCTCTCTCTCTCTCTCTCTCTCTGTGTGTGTGTGTGTGTTGGGGTGTTGTTGTTTGTTGCTATGCTTTGTATTTTTGTGTTTTTATATTGTAAAGCCACCCTGTGATCGTTGGATGAAGGGTCGTATAGGAATTCAATAAATACAGGCAACTCCCCATTTACACGGGGGGTTGCATTCTGAAGTACTGTGTGCATTGGTGGGATGCACATAAACCTGCCCCTGCCCCCTTCCAGTGTGAAAAATGGGGTGTGTGTCTCACTTGGAACACATGCAAATGGAGAGTTACATATATATATATATATATATATATATATATATATATATATATATATATATATATGCTTTCGTAGATTTTCACGGGTACAGGAATGCAGGTTTTGGTGTTCTCGGGTGTCTTCCCGTGTAAAAGTTGGGGTGTCTAGGCGACGTTTCGACGAGGTCTCACTCGTCATCTTCAGGCTGGTGCTTTCGGCTTCTTGTTACTGGAACAGAGCAGGATTTCAGTGTTTGAGTTCCTATAAATACTGTAGAGGAGGTGTGGTGTATAGCCTCCAATGTTCTGGGCAGAGAGGAGGTTCCCAGGCTAGTGTGCCTTTTCTTCTTTTGTTCCTTAATTACTTGAGGGATATCTTGAGTGATTTCTTGAGTGATATCCTGAGTACCACTTAGGTGGGTCATTAGGTGTGGATTAGTTGCTAAAGCCTTCGTGTCTTGACCTCTTGAACTTTGTGAAGAGTTTTTCTGAGAAGATGGCTGTACTGCACTTAGTTGTGCTCTGGCTTGGCTTCGTGTATAGGGGCGAGCTGTGGTTTTGTGGCTTGTGCCAACCAGATCTGTGTAGGGATTGCAGGGGGGTGCAGCATCCGGAGGTGCCACCATGGTTTGGCTACTGGATGGTGTCTGTAATTTATCTGTGGAGAGGGTCTGGGTTTGGGTCTGGTGTGGTTGGTTGGTGATGGTGTTCTGTGTGCCTCTGGATCTGGTGTCGGTTTTTGTGGGGAGGGCTAATTTCCAGATGTCTGGCAGGCGGGATGTGTCGTCACGCTTGTTCATGTTGTGAGGGTGTTTCTCTATCTCGATGGCTTCCATGATTATTCTCTTGTGGTGATGTTCCATGTTAAAGAGCAATTTGGAATCTGCAAAATTAATTTCGTGTCCTGTTTCTTTCATGTGTTGGAAAAGAGAGGAAGTTTTTTCTTCTTTTTTGACGGCATTCTTGTGTTCTGCGATACGTGCATTTATTCGTCTGTTTGTTTGTCCAATGTACGTGGCTGGGCAGACTTTGCAGGGTATTTCATAGACCCCTTGGTTTTCCAACTGGATTTTATCCTTGGGGTTTCTGAGGATATTGGCTATTTTTTGGTTGGTGCAAAAGGCTGTTTTGATATTGTGTTTATGGAGGATTTTGCTAATTTTATCTGTAGTGCCTTCCTTATATCAAGCAAAATCCTCCATAAACACAATATCAAAACAGCCTTTTGCACCAACCAAAAAATAGCCAATATCCTCAGAAACCCCAAGGATAAAATCCAGTTGGAAAACCAAGGGGTCTATGAAATACCCTGCAAAGTCTGCCCAGCCACGTACATTGGACAAACAAACAGACGAATAAATGCACGTATCGCAGAACACAAGAATGCCGTCAAAAAAGAAGAAAAAACTTCCTCTCTTTTCCAACACATGAAAGAAACAGGACACGAAATTAATTTTGCAGATTCCAAATTGCTCTTTAACATGGAACATCACCACAAGAGAATAATCACGGAAGCCATCGAGATAGAGAAACACCCTCACAACATGAACAAGCGTGACGACACATCCCGCCTGCCAGACATCTGGAAATTAGCCCTCCCCACAAAAACCGACACCAGATCCAGAGGCACACAGAACACCATCACCAACCAACCACACCAGACCCAAACCCAGACCCTCTCCACAGATAAATTACAGACACCATCCAGTAGCCAAACCATGGTGGCACCTCCGGATGCTGCACCCCCCTGCAATCCCTACACAGATCTGGTTGACACAAGCCACAAAACCACAGCTCGCCCCTATACACGAAGCCAAGCCAGAGCACAACTAAGTGCAGTACAGCCATCTTCTCAGAAAAACTCTTCACAAAGTTCAAGAGGTCAAGACACGAAGGCTTTAGCAACTAATCCACACCTAATGACCCACCTAAGTGGTACTCAGGATATCACTCAAGAAATCACTCAAGATATCCCTCAAGTAATTAAGGAACAAAAGAAGAAAAGGCACACTAGCCTGGGAACCTCCTCTCTGCCCAGAACATTGGAGGCTATACACCACACCTCCTCTACAGTATTTATAGGAACTCAAACACTGAAATCCTGCTCTGTTCCAGTAACAAGAAGCCGAAAGCACCAGCCTGAAGATGACGAGTGAGACCTCGTCGAAACGTCGCCTAGACACCCCAACTTTTACACGGGAAGACACCCGAGAACACCAAAACCTGCATATATATATATATATATATATATATATAGCTAGCTAGTTAGCTAGTTAGCTAGCGGACTTGGTAAAGCTATAGTCAGCTCAATGCCGTCTCCTGTAATGCTTCTGAGATTTGAAATTCCATCAGAGGTTGTGTTTATGTGTTGTTCTTGGCTGTCATCAGTATTCCTCATACAAAACAGACCTTTGGAGACGGATGTGGAAGGTCCACCTTTTTATCTATGCCCTGGCCCCCATAATCTGGTCTGATGCTTCAAGCGTGGTGAAGGATGTTATCCCATCACTAGATTCCTGACAGCAGGGTGCAGGGAACTGTAGCTCCATGAAGGTAACCTACATTTCCCATGAAAGGTAACCTACATTTCCCCACGAAAAACCCTTAGCGGTTTTCTAATGACCTATGGGGGGGAAAGAACTATGATAACTTCTGCCTTTCATTAGCTAACTGCACCACCGTTGCCTTCTGATGGGAGCTCTTTTGCTAAGCCTACATTGGATCAGGCTGCAGTACCGTTTCGTTGTGGAATGCTTTGCATCTGCACCAGTGAGCAGGAAATTAGTTTGCTTAAACCCTGTGTGTGTGAGGGAGAAAGAGAGCGAGCGAGAAATCCTTGTCCTAGGCGTACAGAGTGACTTTGCGTTTACAGGGCTTTAAGCCTATATACACGTGGGTTTCTGAGCCATAACCCCCCCATCCTAGTCGGAAATCGCAATGACCGAGAGTCATTGGAAAGAAGCGACTCTTAGCCGAGCACTGAGGCGAAAGCTGAATCATTTCTCATTATTATTGGGCTTTATAAACAAGAATAATGTTACACAAATAAGTATATGTACCAAGTTTGCTCATGTCATTTGTGTATCACAAAAATAGCACAATAAATGTGGAAAAATATATACAACATGTGTTTCATTAGTAGTGGTCAGTGAGTTCTTGGTTTATGAATTGGTCATTTCTCGCACAGACTGATCTGCTACCGGCAGATCTGCTACCGTCGCCACCTTTAAGAAGAGGAGGCGCGGCAAAGCCGGCTGCCTCCAAAGCTCCTCCTTCTTCCTGGTCGTCAGAGCTGCTTAATATGGCTGCCTCCATCGCGCCTCGGTGTAGTCTTCCTGCAGCAATAGTAATAGCTCTTTTATTGGGTTGCTGTAGTTTAGCGATCGCAGACGGAATCCAGGTACGCGACGGGGGCGAGGGGGACCGGCTGGCTTGAGCTAGCTGAGCTGAGTTGCGCGGCTGCGCAAGGGATTTGCTTCTGGTTCTTTCCCCTCCCTGACCCTCGTGTTTCATTTAAACTAGCAGTTGAGCTTTCCGTTCCCAGTGTCCCCTCTTTGCTACTGTGAGTGAGTGACTTTGTGTAACCCAGGAGCCTTTTGCCAGGGATTAAAATCGTTCTTTGAGAAGAAGACGTTAAAAGCGAAATAAAAGCAAGCACAACTTTAGAAGTACAGTAGAAACCTCTGGTTGTGGAAATACAGCTTTGCGGAACAGTTCCTACGCACGCACCAGAGCCAGTTGTAGCAGGGTCGGTTCCAGGTTGTGGATCAAGGCTCTGGAGACGTCCTCCAGCCCAGCCTAGTCTTCCCAGCGAGGCATTTTATGAGTAAACAGGTGGGACTGATCATCGCCACACCTTGCCGCCTCAGCTTGTTTGCTCGTCCTCTCTCTCTGGAGGCTCTGCAGGAAGGATGAGGCCTGTTGGACCTCATCCTCACCGCTGCTGTTGCCAGAGGGACAGGGCAGGCATTCAGGTGGGCCAAGGCAAGGGTCAGCTACTCAGTTGCTCATGCTCACCTGTGCAACTCTAAATCTTTTGTACTGTGCCTAAACAAGGAAACATAGCCTTTTCCCCTATGGAAGTTGTTCCAGCCATTCAATCTTCTTTTCTGCATATGTGTAGATATTCATAACAAGGTAAAAACAGCCCTGCCAGATCAGACTTGGGAGTCAATAAAACCAAGCATCCTGTTACTTCCAGAGAGCACGCAAGGAGGGCAGGTTGGGAGAATATCTCCCCCACGTTTGTTTACCAATTTTAATAATTTAATTTCTATACTGCCCTTTATCACTTGTTATGCCCTGGTGGTTTACAAGCACAGGCACTTGCACGTTAAAACTATAAATGCATGACAAAGCAAATTAAAAGCCTATTGAAATCAAACCAGAACAGACAGACATGTTCCTCAGTTACAGCTGACAAAAACATATTGGCCAATCCAGAACTAAGCCACTTCATTCAGCTGGCAATGAAAAATAGGCAGTGATATCACTAGGCATATGTCTTAGCACCTGGCTTTTGAAGGTATGCTATATGTGAGTGTGGAGATTCCATATGGCACTGATAACACCTCACCTTTGTCAGTTTAATGCTTTTTGAAACAGTTGGTAAGATAGAGAATGTTTGCACATGCTTGGGGGTATGCCATAAAGGCCAGGATACCTAAAGTATTGCCTCATTTCCTACATATCCAATCAAACACTGTGCTTTACAGGAGAGGGCATCCTGCAGATACTAGCTTATAAGGAGGCCTGCTCCACACAGTGTTGGAATTGGGCCTTTAGTGTGGTGGGTATCTTGGAATTGCCCAAGTTACATGTCAGACAGGCTTTTTGGAGGTCTGTGGGAGACTTGCAACAGCCCTTCTGTGTGGAGATACCCCAGTTGGTGTCTGTATTTGATTTGAAATAGTTTTTATGGATGTAATGGTCTGTAACTGATTTTATATATGAAATTGTTTTATATATGTTTTTATTGTGTTGTGAAATTGCTTCAAGATGCTTCTTAGGAAGTGATTCATATATGAAATAGGAATAATAATAGCAGCAACCTGTGTGAGAGTCGTCCTCATATTAACACTTGCTGTGTGAAACATAGTCATGTGTAATTGAGCAATGCCTATTGAGAACACTTGAAGGCACCTGTGGAGACAGGCTGAGAAAGCTGGAGGGAACCATAGGTACACAGAGGTAGGAGCAATGACTTATTTTTCTGCTTATTGTCCAGTTTTCTCCTCCAATCCTAAAACAACCTAATTTCCACAGTGAATATAATTTGTAGTCTGGCAGTAAGCATCTTCAGGTCTGGCCCAGTTTAAAATAGGTAAATTGGCTTGTGAATCAAACTGGCTTCCTACTTCAGTTCTGCTCAGGTATTTTATTTTGAACCCTGGAACTTTCTATACTGTAGTCCTGTTTGTAAAAATTTGGAGCTACTGTTAGATTTTGCAGCATTCGCAGAATTGGTTCTTGTGGCAAACTGCAGTGGCACAAATCCTTCCTGTTTATCAATAAGCAGTCAGCAACAATCGGTGTTCTTGGAAGTTTGTTTCTTGCATTTATTTTGTTTGTTTTCTCTTCAGGATCAAGCAGAACAGTTTTTTAGAAGTGGACATACAAACAACTGGGCAGTTTTGGTAAGTTTCTACATTTTTATCCACTTCCCCATGATCAGTGTGCACAAATATTCCAAAATATTGCCGCTTTGATGGTGTATGGAAATGCTTTTTGCTTGCATGTGGGGGTGGAGGGTGGGATAGACGATTGGATCCCATCCCAAAATGTTATATCCACTAAGCTTCTGAAGGGCATAAATAATTCTAATGAAAATATTGTAACTAGTATCAGTCACCATTTGTTTAAAAATAAAACATAATGAGAAAAAATGCCCCTCATATTAGCCTAAACCACAGTACCCAGAGTGGCATGGGAGAATCATGTATTCAGTCTGTATGTGCACATGGGAGAATTGCACACAGAGCAAAGGTTTTTGGGTTTTTTAAGAGTTCTTTTTGCAGCCTCTTGCTACTGAAAACAGAATTTGTTTCTCAGTTCAAAATGAAGCTTGCTGCTGAATCATAAGAAGCATCTGGTGAAAGCTCCAAAGAAACATTTGGCTGCATGCACAGTTCTTCCTTTTGCACTCATATAGTTTTGTGGGGCTATGGCTGTAGAATTAATTCTACTGTTTTCTAACCATAAATATATCCACACATGCTTACTTTTTCCTGACCCTTTTAGGTGTGCACGTCTCGATTCTGGTTTAACTACCGCCATGTGGCCAATACCCTTTCAGTTTACAGAAGTGTCAAGAGACTAGGCATTCCTGATAGGTAAGAAAATATGGAGTTTGTCTACAGCTTTAAAGTACTAAGACAAATGTAAAATTGGGGGGTGAGGGGAGAGAAGGGGTCAGTCTGCCTTCTCAGCAGTGGTGCCCTCCCTGTGGAACGCCCTTCCATCAAATGTCAGGGAGATAAAAGAATTACACAACTTTTAGAAAACATCCCTGAAAATTCCAGATAACATTCCCCCCACCCCAGTACCCAGAGAGGCAGGGAAGTTTTTAATGTTTGACATTTTATTATTTTTTGTATTTTGCTGGAAGCCCAGAGTGGCTGGGGTATAAACATTTTTTATTATTATTAGGCTCTGATGTTGTCTGTGCCCACCTTGCTTGCTGCTATATGTCCACGGGTGCTAACTATGGTTCATTCTAACCAGGTTTTCTATCATAGTTAGGTTTTGTAGATAGTTAAGATAACAAGTTGCAGTTGTAAGACTAAGGAGATGTTAAGACCGTAGGTCCAACTTATTCCAGGAAGGAGGGAAAACGAGGTGCTGATAGCCTGCTTATAATTTATTCGTAATGATTAAAAGATCTTTTGCATTATGTTTGCACTGACCCTTAGTGACCTTCCGGATGCTCAGAATATGGACTTCCAGTTGTTAAATTCCAGCTGATCATCAGCTGAGGTGGCTGTGACTGAAACATGTCGGTCTGGATTAAAGGAAAGGCTTTGTGACCCAAGTGTATGGTTTATCTCTCATTTTGTATTGAGTAGGCTGGTTTTCAGTCACTTCCAACCTTACATTTCTGGCATAGAATTACAATAGATACGTAGGAATAGGCCATAGATCAAGTATGTAGTTGCTAAATATATGTGGCTATACTTGACTTTAAGTTTTCCAGAAAACACATTGCCTTTTTAGTATGCCTTGATTAAAAAAAGATTTTATCTTAATTAACACATCAAATGATTAATCGGTAAGGTCTTAAACTAAATGGAATGCTTGCTTCTTTTTAACAAAGACATGTTTGCATGTTCAAAGGAGACCAAATAGGTCCCATGTTTTGAAGTGTGTTACTTGCTACAGCTGAATTTCTGAGGCATTCCTACTGAGATCTTTGAAGGTTCAAAGGATTTTCAAAGGCACTGTGTGAAAAGGTGTGATCACTTGAAAATTCCATATAACATTTCCCCCCCCCCCCAAGAAGGGATTTTTTTTGAACCCTACTCTCACCTTTTGGATGATTCTGCTGCCATCTGATTCTCTGGTTTCCCAATTTTAACAGACTATTTGTCAGTTCTTTGCTTCATGTGTATTTCCTTTCAGATGCATTATGTTCCCTTTGTGCTGATTCTGCTAGTACATCTCTTCAGCCAAAAAAATAAACAAAGGACCATGACAGCCATCAATACAATTTGCAGGTGGTTTCATTGTGACATGTCAGCCTGCCAGTCACTAACATATGCATTGTGAAAATGACTTTCTGTGTTGTTTAGAAGGACTAGTGTAGTGTTGTGGGTAAGGATTTGCATTAGGCACTTGGATCCCAATTCAGACCTTATACTAGCTATGAATCCAAATTCAGCTTCCCAGCTGCAAAAACACACGTTTTAAGTGTGTTTTAAGTGCAATATGTAAGGTGACACTAGATGGTGATGGTCATCCTTATGGAAAATTCAATGTATTTTTAAAAACGGTTTTAAAAAAAGCATTTTCAGAACGGTTTTTATATGTGTGTAAATTCCATCTTTGTTTGGTGTTTTTTTGGTACACCCATTCACACACCCATCTTTCAATAAGAACAGAACTGGGTGAGTGGTCACAGAATGCTGACTGCCTCATGAGAGGAAAAACTAGAAAACGGGATGGAGTGGAGACATACAATGGAATATCCTGGAATACAGTGTTGATTGTTTATTTCTGTTTGCATGTCTTATTATTTCGAGAGTTTACATCTTCCCTGTGTTCTAGCCTGCTGTTTTGAAATTTCTCAGAGCTGGCTAGCTGGTCATTGTTACAGTCCACAGTCCAGAGATGTTCTTCTGTAACATCCACACAAGATGTAGTGGACACCTGCAAACGTCTCAGCATTGACTTCTCAGGTGTTCTCTGCAGAGTTCACCAAACTCTGCTGGCTCCAGAAATCATTTTGAGAATTTGGCGTGGGAGATTTTTGAAGAGCAAATCTTGTTGGAACTGCTTGTGTTGTTTTTCCTTCAAAATGCTCTTGTGGGAAATTCCCAAACTGATTTTTAGCCTCGGTTTTGTCCTTTTAGAGCAGGCTTCCTCAACCTCGGCCCTCCAGATGTTTTTGGCCTACAACTCCCATGATTCCTAGCTAGGAGGACCAGTGGTCAGGGATGATGGGAATTGTAGTCTCAAAACATCCGGAGGGTCAAGTTTGAGGAATCCTGTTTTAGAGTGACCATAAGGTTGCAATTGATGGCCTTGTTTTAATTATGTTAAGAATATTCTCTACATTCCTTGGTAGCAACATGACAGGGTGCTGTTTCTTTAGGAGTGTGGCAACTAACGTTTTGGTGGAATATTCTATTTTAGATGAAATGCTAGTGTCCTGTTACTTCGTCCTGCTTTGTGTACATTTAGAATCCTGCAGTTTGATTCCCTGCCCCAAGGACTTTTCCTCCTCTTCACTCCCATCCTCTTAAACCTGTATCCATCGAAAACACAAATCTTATCTTCTTTGCATTACAAACGTTTGCTACAAAAATAGCCTTTTTTATTACACACTTGCTCTGATGTATAATTAGAGACTTGGGCGTTTTCATAAAAACAAACAGTGAGTACTTGGTGGATGGGGATGGGAAAACTGTCACCTACTTTTTATTGAAAAAAGTATACCAAAGCTCCAAAAGGGCTTTCATATTCGTGTGTGTGTGTGTGCGCGCGCAAGTAAAATATTTTAGCAGTTCTCAAAAGTGGGAATCAGATTTGAGCCTCCTCTTATATTATTTATTATTGCATTTGTATCCCGTCTTTCCACTTAGGTGCACAAAGTGGTGTTCATGGCTCACCCCTCCCCCATATTATTCAGCCTAACCTACCTCACAGGATTGTTGTGAGAATAATATGGGGAGGGGTGAGCCATGAACACCATGAAACCTGGTCTCCCTGGTCATAGTCCAACTAGGACTATGGCATGCCTTAGACTAGGCATGCCTTACAGAAGAAGGTGAGCCCCACTGAACTTGCAGGCTAATAATAATATTTAGGATTGGATTGCAAGAGAAAATAAAAAGGCAGATGTTGTTATGCTGGAGGACCCCTCTAAACTCAAAATGAACACTCACTATAATAAGTTGTTTCAGGCCTGGCAGCATGAATTAGCTCTGTTGACTTCTTCAGAAAGTCACTTTCATCTTGCCTCTCCTCAGCTCACTTGCGTCTCCTTAAGCTTAGGGAGACGCTCCAGTTTTCAGTGTGAATCAGGACATCATGTTGTGCTGTTATCTTCAGTAGTGCGATCCTAGAGAAACTTGCAATGCAATGGCCCCAAATTATGAGAGCCGTATTTTAACTGTGTGTGTGTTTTAATGCATTGTAATTTTTTCCTGATGTTATGGTTTTATCCTTTTGTAAACAGCTTTGAGCCTTTTTTATTTTATTTCACAATCAAGTAGTATACAAATTTAGTGAAATAAAATCATGTTACAAATACTATTTTTATTTGTTCAGTGTATGTACCGGACTGCCTCCTGAAGGAGCCCAGGGCTACAAATACATCACTAAATCATAAACATTTTTAAAAGACATTTGATTACAGGGTTGCAAGGAACAGTATCTTTTAATTATCAGATGCCTGGGTGAAGAGGAATGTCTGTGAAATACTCCTGAAAATCTGAGGGAGACAGAGGCACCTCGCCAGGTGGGCATCCCACAAAAGGGATGCTGGTCGGGTTCCTTGATAGCCAGCACACTACCCCAAACCATTGTTAGCCAACATTGTGCCTTCCAGATGTTTTTGGACTCCCAACTCTCATCAGCCTGAGCTGGCACGCCTGTGATCAAAAACGATGGGAGTGAAAGTGCAACAGCATCTGAAGAGCACCATGTTGGCTAACCCTGGGCTATAATACACCCCCTATGGAATATCCTATTTCAAGGTTTGCATTCATCCGTCTTCAAGGAAGTTTGTGAAGACACCCTGCTTCAAAAACAGCCTTTCCCTCAGGTGGCTGTCAGTGCAGTTTGTTTCCTCTTTCAGCAGCTAGCTGCCAATTTTTAAGTCGTGTTTTAATTTTCTGTCTTTTAGTCGAAAAGATGGGTGGAAAAACATGTAAAATGAAAAAGAAGAATCATCCTTTGGCTTTGAGAAATACGCCAACTTAACATTTTCAGTAAGGCTAAAATAATTAATTGGATTAGCTAGTAAATCCACCCCTGCCAGATTGAAAAATGTGGGTATTAGTTGGAACTCCCTCCCCAGGAAGGATTATTTGTTAATGATGTCCAAACCGGAATGTCACAGGAGTGTCTCTGTTGTGAAGGTTATCAGATGGTGGCACAAGAAGTGTTACGTGACCTGGTGATCTGGCCCTAGCCAAAAACATTCTCGTAATGGCTTGTGTATTCTTTCAGCCTGGTTGTTTGCAAGTACAGCTGAAGTGGGATGAGGAAAACACTAATTCTGGATTGATTAATCCAGAAAACAATGACATAATTGTGTGCATAAAGCGTAAGATGATTTTCTGAACAATAAGTTCTATCACTGTTGGCTCATTAACACATTACATTGTCTGAAATCGTCTTCTGTGTTGAAATATTGTAGTAATCATTTTAATAGGTTAATTAGTTAAAAGAACAATCATTAATTTTTCCCCTTTTAAATGTAATTGGATGAGATCCTTAATTATGAAACATTGTTTAGTCCAGTCCAATTCCCAGATTGCAGATATTGGCAGCCCAATACTGGCTCTAAGCAGTGACATACACGTGGGTGTTTCAAAAGGCTGGATTCTCTTCTTAAACTAGGATTCTTCTTGTGTGTGCGAACACTTCTGGTGCACCCCATGTGGTAAGA